TAAGTACGATTTGAACCATGCTAATGCACTTCCATTAATGCCAACAAAGTTTTCTAGTCTATTCAAAAGAATGTTGTCGAATGCAGCACTAAGATCCAATAGCACTAATAGAGAGATACAACCACGATCAGATGATAAGAGCAGGTCATTTGTAACTCTAATGAGAGCAGTCTCAGTATTATGACAAGGTCTAAATCCTGACTGGAAATCCTCACAGATACCATTTTTCTCTAAGGAGGAATATAATTGTGAGGATACTACCTTTTCTAGTATCTTGGACAGAAAAGGGAGATTCGAGATCGGTCTGTAATTAACTAGATCTTTGGGGTCAAGTTGTGTTTTTTTGATGAGAGGCTTAATAACAGCCAGTTTTAAGGTTTTGAGGACATATCCTAATGACAATGACAAGTTAATAATAGTCAGAAGAGGATCTATGACTTCTGGAAGCACTTCTTTTAGGAGCTTAGATGGAATAGGGTGTGACAAACATGTTGTTGTTTTAGATGATTTAACAAGTTTATACAATTCTTCTTCTCCTATAGTAGAGAATGTGAGGAATTGTTCCTCAGGGGATCTATAGCACACTATCTGATGCTTACTGTAGCATGGATACAATTTTATCTCTAAAAGTATCGATCTTGGAAGTAAAATAGTTCATAAAGTCATTACTGCTGTGCTGTTGGGAAATGTCAACACCTGTTGATGCTTTATTTTTTTCGTTAAGTTAGCCACTGTATTGAATAAATACCTGGGATTATGTTTGTTTTCTTCTAAAAGAGACGAAAAGTAATCAGATCTAGCAGTTTTTAATGCTTTTCTGTAGGATAGGGTACTTTCCCGCCAAGCAATATGAAATTCCTCTAGTTTTGTTTGCCTCCAGCTGCACTCCATTTTCCGGGCTGCTCTCTTTAGGGTGTGAGTGTGCTCATTATACCATGGTGTCAGACTGTTTTCCTTAATCTTCCTTAAGCGTAAAGGAGCAAACGTATCTAAAATGCTAGAAAAGAAAGAGTCCATAGTTTCTCTTACATCATCAAGTTGTTCGGAGGTATTGGATAAGCTAAGGAATTTAGATAAATCAGGAAGATTACTTACAAAGCAGTCTTTTGTGGTAGAAGTGATGGTTCTAGCATACTTGTAACAAGGAGTAGAATTTACAGTTTTAGCTAAATGAAGTTTGCACAAGACTAAATAATGATCTGAGATATCATCGCTTAGCTGCATAATTTCAACACCATCGACATCAATTCCATGTGACGGTATTAAATCTAGAGTATGATTTCGGCAATGAGTAGGTCCTGACACGTGCTGTCTAACCCCAATAGAGTTCAGAATGTCTATAAATGCTGATCCCACAATGCATCTTTTTCATTATCAACATGGATATTAAAACCACAGACAATTAAAACTTTATCTGCAGCCAGCACTAACTCGGATATAAAACCAGCAACTTCTTTAATAAAGTCTGTATGGTGCCCTGGTGGCCTATATACAGTAGCCAGTACAAACATCACAGGGGATTTATCATTAACACTTGTTTCTTTGGATAATGTTATATGAAGCACCATTACTTCAAACGAGTTATACTTGAAACCCGCCCTCTGAGAAATACTGAAAATATTGTTATAAATTGTAGCAACACATCCCCCTTTACCTTTTGGACGCGGCTCATGTTTATAACAGTAATCTTGGTGGGTAGACCTGTTTAAAATAATGTAATCATCAGGTTTTAGCCAGGTTTCTGTCAAACAGAGCACATCTAGGTTATGATCAGTGATCATATCATTTACAAAAGTGCTTTCGTAGAAAGGGACCTGATATTCAATAAGCCACGCTTTATCATTTGTTTATCCGTATTACATCTGGATTGATCCTTTTATCTGTATTACCCCTTAATCAAACGCACCTTCGCTCACTGAATAAAAAGTGCCACACAGCCCTCAGAAACTAAAACACCAACCACCTGTAGCTAATATTAACCCACTGGCATTGTAAAGAACTTGAAATAAACCTTTAGATCAGTGCTATTAGAGGATGCTGGATTCTCCCTTCAGATTCAGGAAGAAAATGACAAAATCTTCCAAAACCTGAACATTAAGATGAACAGGTGAGCAGAAAACACACTGACACAAATACAGATGAATTCCATGGTTAACAATTAAATGCATGACAAAAAACGCAGAACCAAGTGCAACATGTTCCTGGATCAACATCTTGTTGACCCTGGAACAACATTGTGATTAACCAATCAGATTTGAATAATCAGTTTATATTTTTTGTGAAGTTTAGGCTTACAATCAGTGTTTGGTGCTTGTACGTCAGTGTCATTCATCTATCATTTCCTCTGATTTTAGGTATAACTCATGGTTAAGGTTAGGTTTAGGTGTACGGATATGGTCAAGACTTTATTTTTGGATTAAAATGTTGTTTCAGGGTCAACAAAATATGTTGACCTAGGAACACATCTAACTCAGTAAAATCAGGACGTGCGACAAAAAACACTGACTTTTGTCACTGGAACACAGAAGAACACAAAACGCTGAAGAGCGCCAGAGCTATAGAATGTGAATAATGAAAATTATTTATTGACTTTGGACATTTGAATTGAAAAGTAATTTCACTGATACACATAAAAGTACAGAAACACATTTGATCTTACTGTCTATATGAGGATTTATTACACACATTTATTCTGACATGTTATTTCACTGAGAGAAGTTCAGCTGCAGTGCTAATATCATGAAGAGAAAAAGAGACTCTATAACATCTCTGTTACTGATTTATCATGCAGCTCAAAGTATTATGGGTAGAATCCCTCATCAGTTCTATTCTGATTCATTAACACAGTTCCACTCTTGATCCCCTAGAAACCAAAAACCCAGGATAGAGCGGCTGAGTGAATGTGGTCTGGACTGTGTGGATGAGGCTCATTGTGTCAGAGACGCTGTAGAAGGACAGAGTTCCTGCGCTGTGATCCACATACACTCCTATTCTACTGCTGATGGACTCTACAGGGAGATCAGTCACCTTGTTATTGTGTCTGAATAAGTATCTGGGGGGATTGCAGTGCAAACTCCAGGACTGATCATTACATCCAAACAAATACGCCTTACTCTGTCCCTTCCTGCTGATGCTCTTATATGACACTGATATACGCACACCATGTTCACCTTCTCTCCACTCTAGCTCCCAGTAACAGCGTCCACACACACTCTCGCTACACAACACCTGATGCCAAAAATCAAATCTGTCTGGATGATCAGGATACGAGTGATCTGTTTTAGTGCCAGTAACCACTCTGTTGCTCTCAGACAGACGGAGACTTTTATGTGGTGTGTTCGGATCCAGAGTGAACTGATGGGAATCTGATGGAGATAAAACACATCAGAATCAGGAATTATGAATCAGTTTGATCTTTGCATGTAGCTGAAATCTTCATGGTCAGTGTATCACAACAGGGCTCCAGACTGTGACTAAAACGGTTGCATTTGTGACCAAAAATATTAATTTGTTTTTGCTGAGGTTAAGACTTTAAATTTAAAATTTGACGACACACTTGCAAAACGCAGTTCCTTCAAATTTATAACGAAATTCAAACAATAAATACAGTGCTGGCACTCTTTAATATGGTATGAGCGATCTCTTTAGCGCCTCAGTTCAAGCGGCAAGTGAACCCATCATATATTTCTCTTTACTACTGTAGTAGGAGATTAACATGAATGAACATCAAAAGGTAGGCTAATTTATAAGGCATTTCTATAAGACAGTACAACTTACAAAAATGTCTCATGTAATCGCTCATTCAGTGTTTCAAAATGCAGAAAACATGCAAAGCTTGTACACAACAAATACTCTTCATGGTCAGTGTATCACAACAGGGCTCCAGACTGTGACTAAAACGGTTGCATTTGTGACCAAAAATATTAATTTGTTTTTGCTGAGGTTAAGACTTAAAAATTTGACGACACACTTGCAAAACGCAGTTCCTTCAAATTTATAACGAAATTCAAACAATAAATACAGTGCTGGCACTCTTTAATATGGCATGAGCGATCTCTTTAGCGCCTCAGTTCAAGCGGCAAGTGAACCCATCATATATTTCTCTTTACTACTGTAGTAGGAGATTAACATGAATGAACATCAAAAGGTAGGCTAATTTATAAGGCATTTCTATAAGACAGTACAACTTACAAAAATGTCTCATGTAATCGCTCATTCAGTGTTTCAAAATGCAGAAAACATGCAAAGCTTGTACACAACAAATAACCATTCAGCGTCTGTAAGCTCATTAGCAGCTAGAAAAATAACTAAAAAGAGGAGCATTTTCCTAAATTTAATGCACTATTGCATATTCGTAGTTTTACTTAACCTGTTGATTAGATGATAAGAAAGAATGCAAGGAGCTAAAGATAAAGTTTAACACCTTCTATAAAATTGCATGTTACTAATGAAGAAAACCGACTACATGACATATGACAACATACTGGATATAGAATGCATTGAGAAGGAGTCCAAACTACACTTAGTGGCCAAGCGATGCTGACATAGTTATGATCCATGATATTGGCACAGATTCTGTGTAATAAACAATTCTCTGCGACTGTAGTTCTCAAGTTGAAAAAGACATTTAGTTCCCACTTTAAGTGTACCTTAGTTCCCAGGACATCTACAAGATGGATTAAAATGCTGATAAAGACAAGAAAAGATAAGACATAAACACACGACAGTACGACTGAAATGTTAAAGTGTTAAAAAATAAATAAATAAAACATGTTTAGTCTGTGGCACCTAAAAAATTAATTTGGCGCCTAATTTTGTTTCTTATAGGAGCCAATGGCTCCTTGCTTGATTTTTTTGTCTGGAGCCCTGCATCAGTGTCTCAGTACAGATGACCAGATATCCTGTGCAAATCATCATTTAATTAATCAGTTATAAAACTCTTCTTTCAGCTTCTGAAGAACATTAACACACTCAATGAGTTTTCTGCTTGTTTTTTACTGACTTACATTGTAGGATGTTGTTCCTGGTCCTAGTGAGTGTGACTGTGGAAATAAACAGACATGAACAGTGTGATTCTCATGTCAAGGAAAAATTATCATGCATCCATTCCTAAGACATTTCTAATATGATGTTCTCCCTGATATGAGATGATGATGGACTCGTTTCTGAGAGCAGATGAATCTCCAGGACTTTACCTCTGTCTGAGATCTTCTTGAGCTCCTCTTTGCAGAAATCCTCCAATTTTTGTCTCATCTGACGGACAGATTCTCTCAGAGCATCAAAAGAGAAGAGAGAACTGAAGGGATCATCATTTACATCTGTTGATTCAGAAGGTGCTGACATAGACTGGAAACTCTACAGAAAACAGAAATAAAAATACATCAGCTCCACACTTCACCCAATAACCTGCAGGAACATCAGACTTGTATGGCTCTTCTTGACTTGACTGATCACAACTCACCTTAATCCAGCACTTTCACAGCATATACTTCATTCTTCTCATATTCATTATATCACAGAGCTACAGATTCTAGTATTTGCCACTTAATTATGTAAACTTTCTAGGAAATAGTTTGGATGATAAAACATCTGCTAAGAACATAAATGTCCATCTAACAGCTCAAGAACATTAATGGAATCTTATTGTAGGGTTGAGTAGATTTGCTAAAAAAAATCAGCTCAAAAGCTATGATTAAATTTATCATTATTTATAACTTTACAGCAGTTAGTGACACTGAAACTTCCCAAACATGAGGCTGTATATTAGCAATCAGTCTCATCAGGATTTCAGACAAAAATGCAAGGTGCCGCAAATAATGCAGTGCTTGATTTTGCATTAAATTCTGCGATCGTGAAATCCTGGAGTGACTGAAAATTGCTTCAGCGCCTTGAAACCAAACAGGACCTGACCGTGGACCTGTCTTAAAGGCATAGTTTACCCAAAAATTAACATTTTCTGTTAATTTACTCACCCTCAGGCCATCCAAGATATAGGTGACATTTTTCAGTAGAACAGTAAAGAAGATTTTAAGCTGAAACCGTGGTCCTTGGCGATTCATAAAATGCAAGTCAGCAGATTTCCATCTTTGAGAATGAAAAATAAATAAATTCAAGGAACACAAAATTAATAACCTGTGAACTCATTCAGTGCTTCAGTTCCTCCAACAGTCACTGAACTGAGGAAACAGTTAGACTCGGACCAAAGCCCGATGAGTCGCTGATATGCGCATGCGTGAACCAAACACTTGAATGAAGGGAAGTAAAGTAATGTTTTTATGGTTTCTCATTGTTTATGCAAAAAGATGAACTAGTGAATTTAACCGGTTCACTGAAAACAACTGTCTGAAAGAATTGGATTTCCACATTGCCTGGGTGTTTGGATTACCAGTAATAATGTTGTAAAAAAAATTCAATTTCTTGTACAGACCGATCGTTTTGCTTCATAAGACCGAATTGGATTTCCACATTGCCTGGGTGTTTGGATTACCAGTAATAATGTTGTAAAAAAAAATTCAATTTCTTGTACAGACCGATCGTTTTGCTTCATAAGACCTCAATATATTGTCAGGAGCCACTTCATTTTGTGTTTCCTGATTTGCTTTATTTTTATTGTCAAAAACATGCAGCCGCTGACTTGCATTATATCTGTCACGATTTCCAGGTGGAGTGCCCATGAGCTCCTCTAGAGGGCACTCCATCCCTTACTTTCACCTTCTCACCCCATCCTTACTCCATTGTCACGCCGCCCGTAACAGAAGACTCAGCCATTCCCGGATCCAGTGGCCTTTTTAGTGTTTCCAGGCCAATCATGGACCCAGCAATCAGGTTAATTTGTCTCCGTCAGGGAATGCATTCCCTCGAAAGACCACATTCAAGACTTTCTGGACATTGCATATCTATCTGATCTCCCGGACTTTGCACTCATTTACTTTTTCTGTAAATGGACTTAATGAATCACTGAAGTCGATACTCATTCGAGATGGTCCTCTCGAGGGTCGCTTTTTCAGTTTCTGGATCCCTCACTGTTGGGGCTGTCGAGGAGTATGTTTCCCCTAAACATTTTTTTAGGGGGGTTGGGGGGGGGGCAGGACACACCAAGCTGCTGCATCAAGACCCCCACAATGTCCAGCAATTATGCACCTTCCTCTCTTGTGGTCCCAGTTCACAACATGGCTACAAATCCAGAGCCTCATACAGCTGTCATGGATGTCCCGCCGCAGTCTTCAGCCCTCATGACCAAAGACATTTGGGGCTGATTTCCAGTTTGGCTGAGCCACTGCTAGATTCGGCCAGAGCAGCTGGCACTACAAGGGCCTCAGTACTGACTGTCATAGAGGCTGTTCCCCTATCCTCAGTGCTCCCCTTAATGACCATCCTGTGTGTTTGGGCTACAAACTGCTCTATTACTCCTCCTTAGCCTGCTCCAGTCCACCAATCCGCTTCAGAACCTGCTGTGGGTCTAGTACGAAGCCCGCTGCAGTCCATGAGTCTGCTCCAGCTCCTCCTGAGTCGAAGGCGTCTACGTCAGCTCCTCTTTGGGTGGTGGCGCCCACTTCTGAACTCTCCGCCTGTCCTGTCCCGGCCAAGGAGGCCATCTCTGATCTCTCAGCCAATCTTGTTACGGACAAGTTGGCCATCTCTGAGCTCTTCACCTGTCCTGTCCCGGACAGGGAGGCCATCTCTGAGCTCTTCACCTGTCCTTTCCCGGACAAGGAGGCCATCTCTGTGTTTTTCGCCTGTCCTGTCCCGGACAAGGAGACCATCTCTGTGTTTTTCGTCTGTCCTGTCACAGTCAAAGATGCCATCTCTGAACTGTCTGCTTGTCCTGTTACGGCTGCAGAGTGGTCCTCAGCACCATCAGCTCCACCGTGGGGATCTTCGGTCCCATCTCCTCAGCTGTGGTGGTCCTCAGCTCTGCCCTGGTGCTCTTCAGCCCCACCAGCTCCGTCCTTTTGGTCCTCAGCTGCACAGCTGTGGTCTTCGGCTTCGCCTGCTCAGCCTCAGTGCTAAGCACCTTCAAACGAAATCAATAGCACCCTCACTTAAAGCTGTATTAATGGCACTTCATTGCAGATTTGCCGTTTGCCAGCGCGCCATGGTTTGCGCTCTGGAGATTGGTTTCTATTTCAACGTGTTTTTGCAGCGTTGAGCAATGTAGCCAATTACGGACATATCTCTTGTTTTTTTTTAATCAGAGGCATTTAAGTTAGAATTCACTGACCACTGAAATCGCCTGAGATTTTTTTTTCAGGTATTGTGTTCAGCACGAACCATCTCATTATAACAAAGTGTAGATGCGATGTAAATAAGAGATTCGTTGTGCAGCGTAGAGAACTTCATTGATTATAATGTATCTTTGTAAGGTCGCAATGAACTAAGATAAGTGACAATTTTTAGTGATTATATGGAGCGCTCTTTGTGCCATAGCAACAGACGGACGCTACTAATGTATATATATATATATATATATATATATATATACATATTGTGGCGAGTCGGCTGCCTCCCCCCTATTTATCCTCATCACCCCGTCCCTTAATCGCCGCCCTTCACCAGGCTCCCGACAGGAGTGGGTGTGTGAGAGAGGAGGGGCGCAGAATCAGCCAGGTCTGGCGCCATGTGATGAGGCACACCTGAAGTGAATGGAGCCTCGTCACCGTCGCTGTTAAATGCCAAGCGCCTCTCCTCGAGAGACCGGTCTCTTCCCCATGCATGCACGCTGGTGTCCTGGTGGGTCCAGGAAGGGTGCGTAGAGGGACTCCCACGCCGCCAGAGCCATGAGCTGCCGGACCCGTGGTCCGGACGAGAACCGCACCCGTTACACGGCTGTCGGGCCAGGATGCTGGGCCGTCTAGTCCGTTCGAGCGCCGTGGGCAAAGAGAAGGATGAAACCACTGGAAGAAGCTGCCGCCACTCGCGCCCCTTACCTGGACCCTTCCTTCCCGAGCACTGCCCCACCTTCACGAACTGTCGTCCCGCGGCACAACGAGGACACCAGATCCCCTGTTTATTTTGAACACTTTTTTCCTTTGGACACTTTATTCCCTACTTTGGACATTTTTATGTTACTTTCTGTTAATAAAAGCCTCTCCAAGGCCTGACGCCACACCCACTGTGTCTGTCGTTTGCTCCTCCCACCACAATATATATATGTATATATATATATATATATATATTATTGCACCCTCACTAATTTAAGAAGCACCCTCAGTGATTTGATTCTGGAGCCGGGCCTAGTAGCGCCTCTTTCAAAAGAAGTTGATCAGATGAGAGTCTGATGATTATAAAATAAGACACTCATGAAATGTTTCTCTGTGAGTTTCCTGTCACAGCAGGATCTGTCTCAAGTCAACTATGATCCTGTTCTTCTAGATCTCTGTTACCTGCAGGAACTGGATGTGATCCTGTGTGTGTGAAAGCTGCTCCAACTCAGCGTCTCTCCTCCTCAGATCATTGATCTCCTGCTCCAGTCGCTCCAGTTGTTCTTCAGCTCGACTCACTGCAGCCTTTTCTTGATCTCTGATATCAGGAATCAGGAGCCGTATCAGCTTAAAGCACCTTCTCTCAATGGAGAATTTGATCTCAGTAAAGATCCTCTCACTGTCCTCCACTGCTGTCTGTGTAGAGCGCTGTTAGGACACACAGTGATTCAGGCTTCAGTGAGTCTGAACTGAGACTGAGACAAACTTCTCTTCTTCTCCAAACTCACCTTATGGGACTCCACAGCCTCTCTCAGCTGCTGAAGATCTTTCTCTCCCTGCTGGGTACCCTGCTGGAATGTCTCATGTGTCTCCTTCAGCTGCTTCTGCAGGACAAACAGATGATAGTAAATATTTCAAAAAACTACTGGCACTAAATCATCATGTGAACAGATGAATCCAGTAAAAGTCGAACTGATCTCTAAAGGCTGTAAACTCCATAAAGGATGATTAATTGTTTAACACTATTGTACATTAATTAACATGAAGATTAAAGCTTGGTTCACACTACAAGTGTAAGTCCTAGTTTTAAATACCTGATTCTCTGTCCTCTGTGCTGCAGCTGATACAATGTCATGGTTTTTATGTTCATATTTTGTACATAGCTCACAAATACATTGTTGGTCAGTAATACAGTACATCTCCAGATGTTTCTCATGTTTCTGGCAGATCATCTCCTGCAGTCGTCCAGTGGCATCAATCACTTTGTGTGGTTTACGTGAATGAAACTCCTCATGACGGTCAAAATGATGTTGACAGTAAGATTCCTGACACATCAGGCAAGACTTCACGGCTTTGTAATTTCTTCCAGTACAGACGTCACACTGCACATCTCCAGCTCCAGCGTCACAGTCAGCAGTAAGTTTGGTCTCCTTCGATTTCTCCACCAGTTCAACCTGAATGGTGTCTTTTTCTAAAGCAGGTCTTGGACTGAAGGTTTGTCTGCACTGAGGGCAGCTGTAGACTCTCATCTGATCCTCCAGATCCCAGCAGCCTGTAATACAGCTCTTACAGTAACTGTGTCCACAGGGAATGGCCACGGGATCCTTCAGGAGATCCAGACACACTGAACACGTCAACTTATCCTGAGAAATTCTGGCTTCTGCCATTTTACTGCAATAAAACAAACACACAACACTTCAATCACACTTTTTCCCTTAAGTCAAAAAGAAGAAGTTATGTGTTTGAGTGATGTGTGTAAAACTGGCGTGCCTGTGAGTCTGTAAAGCATGAAATGTCTACTAGATGTCAGTCTCAGACAAACACTCAAAAGATGAAAGTTACAGAGAAGAAGGACAACAGCCTTAAAAAGTGCAGTAATACTGCATCCTAATTACTACATAATTACTATATTATACTCTGAAAAGGGGGAATTAATATGACATTAAATTCCAGCGGTGTTCTCTCTACTGAAACTTTTTGCAGATTGATAAGACAAATTGCAATAAAGCACATTTTCAGAACATTGCTCTGTGTTCAGAAGGGTTCATAATTATTATAGTTTCATACTGTACCAAGAATAATTGTAAAAATAGTTAACTATCAACTGATACACTTGAAATAATCAAAATTCTCTCTTATAAATAAAAATTTATTTTTTAAACTATTGTTCTTTCTTCAAATACTTATTTCCTCATATATACATATTCAAACATTTCTCAATATATACATATCTATCTCACATCTACTTCTCCTATATCATTTTCATTGTTCTCCCATTATAAACACATTTCAGGCACAAATAAACAATTCATTTTAGAATAAATACTCATTTACACATTAAACATCAAAGTCTAACTTGTTAACATAAACTTTCCAC